CCCACACAACCTAATGAACCATATAAAGTTTACTGAACCATATTAATTACCAAGGAGAGTGTGAAAAAGATAACATTTTTATGAAATGAAATGAAAATATGAAATAAATTAACATAGTTTTAAATACCACAATCAAATTATTATGGTATTGCATGCGAATAGATTAAAAGATCAGTAGGATAGAATAGAAAATATAGAATATTTGACAGAGATATTGACTAAAAATGTCATTAAATATAGATGATGTGTGTGTTCATATACATGCACACACTCACACACTGTGTTGTCTGAAGGTGGAGTGAGACTGACATCCCACTGTCCTCCCAGGGGGTTGGTGAGGCCCAAATCCTCTGCTGTGCCCATCCTGTCCTTCTCATCGTTACACTCAGCAGCTCTGGTACCCTTCCTGATTTCAGCCTGGTTGTCTCCTCCATCAGAGGTGTACCTCCTGTAGAGAAAGAGCACCGTCGCTGAAGCTTAGTGCTCAGACAGGGCTGAGAACCTGGGAAATGAATGAATGAAGGAGTGAATGTTTCTCCTCGTGAGGTCACCCATGTCCAGAGTTAAAGAATAGAGTTGTCCTTGAACGTAGGTTAATAGAGTAAGTATTTGCACCTAAATGACCGCATGTGCAAGTGTAGAACTGAGGAGGTCCAGCCTGTTCTAGTGTCATCTTTGAAAAAAAAAAAAAAAATCCCTTCTGTAGCTGCCTGCTGATAGCTGGAAATGATTTCCTATTGCTGCCCATTGGTAGGGGGAGGAGGGGGGCCTGCAGACAGAAGACAAATGAAAACAACAGGTACCACACCCTGTCCCTGCCCTGCCCTGCACACACATTACTCTGTGACTTTCCAGCTGTTTTCTCTGTTCTTCCAGCAGGTGAGCCCCTCTCTTTCCCACCCCACCCTGCAAACACATTTTTGTTACTGTTCTGTTTTGTGTTGCACAGATGTTTTTATTGTGGTGATCGTGTGCTTGGTAGTCCCTGCAGCCTTTCCTTCCTTGGAATGTCACAAGTGTATTTTTTGGTTGCTACACAGTCTTTTGATTGATTTTTAAGAACTGCCTGATGTTAACAGGTTGATTAATTACATATGTAACTTGTTAAAATGCACTCATGTAAAAAATTTGCAAAGAAAACTGCTTTTATGAAAGCAGATGTTTCCCAAAGGATCTGGCCACCCTCCCCAGATGTTTTTATGAGGATACAGTGGCTGTGGGAGATTAGTGTGTTTCACTGAAGCACTGTGGTAAGAATCCATGCACCTGGTGATGTTGTCCTGATCAGTTCTTCTTAGTTTAATTAAGCCTTAATTATTCCCCAAAACCAGCATTGGGGAATAAAACTCACTGAAATATAGCAATATCATTGAAAACTAACATGTAGTCATTTNGTGAGCCCCTCTCTTTCCCACCCCACCCTGCAAACACATTTTTGTTACTGTTCTGTTTTGTGTTGCACAGATGTTTTTATTGTGGTGATCGTGTGCTTGGTAGTCCCTGCAGCCTTTCCTTCCTTGGAATGTCACAAGTGTATTTTTTGGTTGCTACACAGTCTTTTGATTGATTTTTAAGAACTGCCTGATGTTAACAGGTTGATTAATTACATATGTAACTTGTTAAAATGCACTCATGTAAAAAATTTGCAAAGAAAACTGCTTTTATGAAAGCAGATGTTTCCCAAAGGATCTGGCCACCCTCCCCAGATGTTTTTATGAGGATACAGTGGCTGTGGGAGATTAGTGTGTTTCACTGAAGCACCGTGGTAAGAATCCATGCACCTGGTGATGTTGTCCTGATCAGTTCTTCTTAGTTTAATTAAGCCTTAATTATTCCCCAAAACCAGGTCCCCAGATGTTTTTATGAGGATACAGTGGCTGTGGGAGATTAGTGTGTTTCACTGAAGCACTGTGGTAAGAATCCATGCACCTGGTGATGTTGTCCTGATCAGTTCTTCTTAGTTTAATTAAGCCTTAATTATTCCCCAAAACCAGCATTGGGGAATAAAACTCACTGAAATATAGCAATATCATTGAAAACTAACATGTAGTCATTTAAATATCCTCACAACCATTTATGCTAGAGTAATATTAACTCTTTTATTGCTTTTGCTGCAGCCTTCCAGTGTGCTGAGGGGTGAGGGTGGGGATGGGGATGACATTTCAATGTGGAAGAGAAGGGCTGAGGAGCGGCTGCTGAAGACGTTGCTGAGTGAGGGTAGGAGAAGTGGAGGCACGCAGGAGTGCTGCATAGCATACTGCCAGTTGCTGAGCCCTTTCAGGGGCTGGGTCCATCTTTACAGCAAACCTGTGATGAAGGCAATATTGTACCACCCCATAACTGACGGCCAAGGCAAGCAAGTGATGTCACCAAGGTTGCAAGCCAACACAGTGGCTCCGAGATCCCAGCTCAGGCCTGTCTGTGGCCAAAGCCTGTGTCCCTAACCAGGATGCTAAGCTCCTGCTCAGCTCATCATGTAACACAACCAGAAAACCTTTTCTGCTTACTTATGAAACAAAAACGATCATTTCTAATATTTTCCATGGATGATTCCTCCCCAGAAATATTTATGCTGAAGGACAACGTGAAAATCCTGCTGTAAGCAACGGTCTGCAGAATTCCTTTTTCCTTGCTTCCATGTAAGGCTATGTGAGAGACCTCAGTTTAGCCCTGCCAGCGATTCCCCCTCAGCCTGGGAGTGTCCTTTCCTGTCTTTCCTGTGGCTTTCTTCAGTGAAGCCTCTTCGGCATGGCCAAATTCCCAAGCAGGGAAAGGTGGGCAGAAATACCTGACTTCTGGAGGAGACGACAAGGAGGAGAAAAGTATAAAATTAGAACCTGGGAGAGGTCAGGGAGCTTGGAGGGTGTTGCAGAAAGCTGGCTTTGGGGTCAGGGCACAGCATGATGGGCAAGGAGCTACCCGGTCACCAGGCAGGTGGCAGCTGAAAGTCTTGGCCACCTCTTCAGGATGGAGCAGTGGAGGTCTTAGCCTTCTCTTCAGGGTGAGAGGCTGCAGATGCCAGCTTTACCCAGAAAGGAAGTGCTGCTGCACCCCAGCCCTGGGACTCCACTTGATCACATGGTCACGTCCACAGCCCCCCAAGGTTGCTGTGGGTGGAACCTGTGAGCCCAGGCAGGAGCAGCCAAGGGGCTCTGAGCAGTTAGGAGCAAAGGAGAGCACTCACCTGGATGCCCAGAGCCCAGTGCCTGGTGCCTGTAGGGAGGACACACTTTTCTGAGGAAAGCTGTGTGGCTGATAGTAACTGAATTTGTAAAGCAGGGCCCTGGTGTCCCATATGCCATGCCAGGACTCCTCAGTGATGTGTGCCCATGTGCAGCTGTCTATAAATTAGTGTCTAGTCCAGGCTGACCATGGCCCTGGCAAGAGCAGCCTTTCAGAGGTGACCAGCCTCTGTGGCTGCTCGCTGCTCCCTCCTGAAGAGGTGGCTAAGACTTTTGCTGCCACCTGCCTGGTGATCGGGTGGCTCCTCGCCCATTGTGCTGTGCCCTGACCCCAAAGCCAGCTTTCTGCACCACCCTCCAAGCCCCCTGACCTCTCTCAGGTTCTAAACTGTCTGGTCTCATGGGCACTGAAAGGGCTCCTGGTCCCCCTAAGGGACACCTCCCTGACCACGAGGACCCTGCCTTCTGCCCTGGCTCATACCTGATGATCCATTCATCTAAGCCATGTGTGGTGCAGAACCTCTGCTAAAGAAGCAGCAGAGCAGGAGAGGAGTGGGAGCAAGAGAGGCCTCCAGGAGGGGTGGATGTTCCAGACTCTGTTTCCCCGCAATGAGGTGGGACCGGCCAACATGTGACACTTTTTAAGGAACTTCCCAAGGGAGAGTTTTGCTCCTGTCCCTTGGCTACCTCCTCCTGACAGTTGAGCTTGCGTCCCTACCCAGTGTCTGTTTCTCTAGGGTCGCTCATCCCAAGCACTGTGCGAAAAGCATGGTATCAGCATCACAGCTCGCAGTGACAGTTTTGTAAATGAACAGCAGCCCTGTCTGCAGATGGGGAGACTGAGGGAGGGACAGCAAGTGGTTTGCTCACACAGCCAGTCAGCAGTCACGCTCCCAGACTGTGGCTGTCCTTTCTGTCCCTCCTCTCAGACAGGCATCTCCACCCCTGGTCCTACTAGCTGGTTCTGTGGGCAGCGTGGTGGGCTGGTGGTCTTCTGCTCCAAGTACCAGACTGTGGCTGTCCTTTCTGTCCCTCCTCTCAGACAGGCATCTCCACCCCTGGTCCTACCAGCTGGTTCTGTGGGCAGCGTGGTGGGCTGGTGGTCTTCTGCTCCAAGTATTTTTTTTAAATTGAGACATGTTGAGGAATATAGTAAAGTATGTGAATCTTAAGTGTCTAGCCTGACAAATCATTACATGCACACCTGGGTCACTGTCACCTAGGTTAAGGTATGGACCCTTTCCAGCTCCCAGGAGGCTCCCTGTCCCCTGTCCCCTGTTTTACCCTCCTCCAGGTGACTGCGGTTGTCACCCCTCGCACCAGGACTCGTTTGCCTTTCCTTGACCTTCATGCAGGTGGAATGAGACAGCCCGCACTCCTTGTGTTGGGTATCTTTTGCTTGTTACTGTGTTTGTCAGCTTCGACCTCATAACTTGCTCTTTTTCATCATTATGTCGTGTTCAATTGTATGACTCTGGGAAAACATACCCGTACTTCCCTGGGGACAGGTGGTCAAGGGTGACAGGCAATTGACTTTCAGCTTGGAGTTCTCATGGCTGAAGCTGCTGCCAACATGTCTTTTGTGGCCATACGAATGCTTATGTTAGTCATGTGTATGCTCAGGAGTGGAATTGCTGGAGCATTCTACTGAAACATCACCTTGGCCCCAGGCCTGTGGGTTCTGCAGACAGACTCCCCAGTGGTATCTGGTTTCCCTCTTAGAGCGTAGCTGCCTCTGGAGGGCTGTGGGGATGCAGGGGCAGAGCTTCACTTGAGGGCACTTGCTCTCCTCGCTTCTGTCCCCCCCTCACATCCTAGGGTGAGCTCCACAAGTACTGCACTGCGTGGGATGATGCTGAAGTCAGACTCAGCAGCCAGAGCGACAAGGCTGGGTCTGCTACCCCTCATCAGCTCCCAGACAACAAGACCGACTGCGGCTGGGCGCCGTTTGGTGAGTCCATCCTAGGTCCCCCACTGTTCATCCACGTGCCGCCACAGGCCATCCTTTCAAGGTTCCTCCAGCCTTGCTGATTTTAGCAGCAGAAAAGCCATCCTCATGACAGCTCTCTCCTTTCAATGATTGCTCCCTTACTGCCACTGTGTCTGCCGTTCCTGTGTGCAGAGGTGCAGCCACTTAAAGTGAGATTCTTGTGGGGGTCTGCTGAAGGCCATCTGCATTTTGTACTTGTTAGACTTGGAAGTGAGGACTTAGCGTAAATCTGTGGGTGGGGAGAAAAGAGAAGTCACAGGGGCGTGGGGTGAGTGCTGGCCTCAGCAGGGGTGCTGAAGAAAAGCCAGCATAATGTTTAAACAAAAGGAATGAGTCAAATGCCCACCCACCGTGTACAATGGGGATTATGTCTCATCAGAAGGATGTGCAGAAGAGTGCTTCAAAAAGTTCATGGATTCATATTATCTTTTAATTCCATTTTCCATGAGCTTTTTGGAGTACCCTCGTATATCTAGCAATTACTTGAAAATGTTGTGATTTTACTTTTTTTTGCAAGAAGCTTAGCTGCCTCTGGAGGGCTGTGGGGATGCAGGGGCAGAGCTTCACTTGAGGGCACTTGCTCTCCTCGCTTCTGTCCCCCCCTCACATCCTAGGGTGAGCTCCACAAGTACTGCACTGCGTGGGATGATGCTGAAGTCAGACTCAGCAGCCAGAGCGACAAGGCTGGGTCTGCTACCCCTCATCAGCTCCCAGACAACAAGACCGACTGCGGCTGGGCGCCGTTTGGTGAGTCCATCCTAGGTCCCCCACTGTTCATCCACGTGCCGCCACAGGCCATCCTTTCAAGGTTCCTCCAGCCTTGCTGATTTTAGCAGCAGAAAAGCCATCCTCATGACAGCTCTCTCCTTTCAATGATTGCTCCCTTACTGCCACTGTGTCTGCCGTTCCTGTGTGCAGAGGTGCAGCCACTTAAAGTGAGATTCTTGTGGGGGTCTGCTGAAGGCCATCTGCATTTTGTACTTGTTAGACTTGGAAGTTAGGACTTAGCGTAAATCTGTGGGTGGGGAGAAAAGAGAAGTCACAGGGGCGTGGGGTGAGTGCTGGCCTCAGCAGGGGTGCTGAAGAAAAGCCAGCATAATGTTTAAACAAAAGGAATGAGTCAAATGCCCACCCACCGTGTACAATGGGGATTATGTCTCATCAGAAGGATGTGCAGAAGAGTGCTTCAAAAAGTTCATGGATTCATATTATCTTTTAATCCCATTTTCCATGAGCTTTTTGGAGTACCCTCGTATATCTAGCAATTACTTGAAAATGTTGCGATTTTACTTTTTTTTGCAAGAAGCTGAACAGAAGATATGTTGTCTTATTTTCTATGTTCANCATCAGAAGGATGTGCAGAAGAGTGCTTCAAAAAGTTCATGGATTCATATTATCTTTTAATTCCATTTTCCATGAGCTTTTTGGAGTACCCTCGTATATCTAGCAATTACTTGAAAATGTTGTGATTTTACTTTTTTTTGCAAGAAGCTGAACAGAAGATATGTTGTCTTATTTTCTATGTTCAATACCACCCCTTTTCACTTTCTGAGTACACCCAAATTTAGAGGAGAGATGTTTTGTATTTTATAGCCTTTCTCCAGAACATAAACAAAACAATATTGAACTTGGCTTGTTCGTTTTCAAATCTGTGCAGATAAGAGCAACTATCAGCAGTTGCTGGGGGCCCTGGATTACTCCTTCCTGTGCGCCTACGCCATTGGGATGTACCTGAGGTAGGTCTGCTTGAGTTTCCAGACTCTTCCCTATTATCAAGTCCATTCAGTGCAGAAAATATTTTAGATGTGCTGAAGTACACAGGAGCACATGAGACTAGGCCCCTGCTCGCAAGTTGCTCACCTTCTGGTGTCTTCTTAGAGACAAGGATGAGGTCAAAGCCATGTGCACCATTGTGTCCACTAGGCAGGGTCTTGAAGCAGAGGATTTACATATCGGAGTATTCTGCTGATTGGACATAGGTTGCCCCCGGCTTTCCTGGCCCTGGGGTTTAGGATGCATTGTGAACCCACATCCTGGGAAGTGGTCATTTAGGAACAGGGTACTTGAGGCTTCACGTGATGCTCAACAGAGTTTGTCTTGTCCTGTGGTTTCAGTGGCTGCCATCTATTTACATATTCCGAATAACTAATGCTGCCTGATGGACAGAACAGTTGAAACAGTGTGTGCTGCCATCTCCACCTGGACATCCAACTTGGTCCCAAACAGAACCCTGAGTGTAGCCAGGCAGCGGTGCATGGTGGTGGGGCGTGCATCCAGAGGCAATGGCTTGCATCTGAGTCCCTCCTGTACACTCACTAGGGTGTGGCCTTGAGCAAGTTACTGTGTCTCTTTGGGCCTCAGTTTCCCCTTTGCAAAATGTGGGGGATAAGAGTTCTTACATCACAGGATTGTGTTGAGGATTAAATGAGTTAACACATGTAGAAGTTCGGAACGGCACCTGGCACGTGGTGTGCTCCTGGCCCGTTTTTGAATTAACCTAGGTGGGTGGTAAATGTTTTATGGGTAATGAGACATGTGGTTGGCTGATTAAAAGCTGGTATTGTGTCAGCCCAGCCAGGTTTAAAGAAAAAGTGTCATAGGGACTGAGGCTTTTGTTCAGAGACTTGAGCAATCTTTAGAGCTCCAAGAACCTCAGGACTCCCTGTAAATGTTTAGTTTCTTCCCTGAGACCCACCTGGAATGTGGGGTTGTCAAGACCTGGGCCCCTTCCCAGCTCAGTGCCCTTGTGCATGGTTGGTGTCCAGCCTGGCAGTTCGTGCTGATGGAGTGCGTGCTCCCCTTCATTGAATGTGTGTACTCGCATAGTGCCTGCGCACCTTGCTGAGTGACAGAGGACACGGAGGCCACAGTCTGTGGTGGCAACAGGACATAAGCCCACTGCAGAGCAGTACCATAGGCTTTCTTAAGGCCTGCTGTCAACCAGGCTGCTGGCTGTCCTTCATCTTGAGGTCAAGTGTTTATATTCTAAAGGCAACCATCTTACTGGAAACAAACAATCTGTAGTTTAAAAAGACTCAAGGTAGGAGTGTGTTTTTCTCAATAACTAGAAAATAGTAGTTAAATCTGTTCTCAGCTGGGGCTGATATTTGTCCCCTATGGGACATTTACTAATATCTAGAGACATTCGTGGGCATCACAACTAGGAGGGGAGGCTACTGGCATCTAGTGAGCGGAGCCCAGGGAAGCTGCTAAACATTTCCACACACACAGGACAGCCCTTCACTTCAAGAATTATCTGGCCCAAGATATCAATAGTGCTGAAGTTCAAAAACCCTGGTTTAAATAAAGTGGTTTTATTGTTGCTTATTTATTGGCAAAGGTAATTTTTTTATGCAACTTGTTAATGAGGTTATTAAGATGAAATTTTGGCCAACATGAAATCTATACAGTAGACTCATGACTGAAACTAGGGCAACTCTGCTTCATTGAGGGGCCTTTTAGTATGACAGCATGGCACAGTGGCTGATAGAACTGATTGTCTCAGATAGAACTGACCTCTCCCAGGTCTCGGCAGTGGGTGTTGCTTCGTTCTGTCCATCAGATGAAATCAGATATGAAGGGCACATTCACTAGTCCAGGTGATAGCTGGCAGGTTCAGGCAGGTACAGCATGGATTGAATCCCTGTATGAGTCTGCTGTAATGTGAGTGAGATTCATTCCATTAGACCTTTTCTTTAAAAACTTTTAAATAGAGATCAAATATGGGCCAATGTTGTATATAGCAAGACTAGCGAATGCTTCTGAGCCCTAGCTGCTGCCACTAGCTCTCAGGAGCCTATCTGATGCTGCCACTTGTTCCGTGACCTTGGGCAGATCAGCCAGCCTCTGTGGGACATGTCTCCTAATTTCTTTCTTTTTTTTTTTTTCCTTTTTGTCTTTTTTCGTGACCGGCAACGGATCGCA